ATAAATATTTAAGTCTTAGGGGACAAAAACAAACAGCAACAGTCAAAGAGACCCATCAGAAGAAGCTAATGAAACTATCAGAAAGGCAAGACCGACCTCTAGGGAAGCAAGGTGAGGGTTCGGTAAGAGCTCTTGATGATGTTGAATTACCAAATTGGGTACAACAAGTGTTGGCATTAGGGCCGAAGCATCCCGTCAGGGATAAAATTAATGGGACACACTTTCTCGCCGACATTGACATCTTTCTATCGGATCTCAAAAATCGTAAAGTCCCCGGGGAGGCCCTTTGTGTGATCGAAGCTGTGGCAAAAGCCTATGCTAAAAGGGTGAAACAAACACCATCTGACAAAGGCGTTGAGAAGGCCCGAAATAACTGAAGAGTAATGGATTAATTGCGGTACTGTATGACAAAGGCGTGGGTTTTTGTGTAATGAGAAAGGACACCTACGAGAACAAGTTGTCGGATACATTAGATTCAAATCAATTCAGCAAAAGTAAAGGAACAAGTGATGCGATTGTTTTGAAGATAGAAAGAGACATCAATAAGGAGTTGCTGGCTATGAGGAAAAAAGATGAAATAAGTGAGAGTCTCTACACAAGGATGAGGTCTACTGGGGGGCAGCGCGCCAGGCTTTATGGGTTGGCGAAAGTGCATAAAGTGAATACTCCATTAAGACCGGTCCTCTCCTTGCCTGCTAGCTCTTATTATAACTTGAACAAGGTTCTTGCAAAATTTTTCGAGAAAATTGAGGGCGCAAACATCAAAACCAACTCACTAGATGCGAGAGAAATCTTAGAGAGCACTAATCTTGAGCCCAATGAAAATTTGAGATCTCTAGATGTGAAGAGAAATGTTCCACTGAAAGAAGCAATAGATATAGCTCTGAGAAAACTATATGAGCAAAATGAACCACCATCAATTGCTAGGAAAACCATGAAGAGACTGTTGAACATGGCAGTTAGTCGAGTCCATTTCAAGTGCAATGAAACATGGTACGTTCAGAAAGATGGTTTGGCAATGGGGGCATCTCTTGCCGTTATTTTAGCAAATCGTTGGCTGAAGCAGTACGAAACTGCACTATCGAGGGACATTCCCGAAATGTTTTTTGCCCGAGAAAGATCTTAACGGAATATGTTCCGAGTGCAATCAGAAAGTCATGTACAGGTCAAAAGGTGTAGAATGTGAGTGCTGTTTGAACTGGTATCACGTAAAATGCGGTGATATATCAGATAATGAGTATCGAAATATGAGTGAAACCGTCTGGTACTGTAGAAAATGCATCGCAATAAGAGAGAAACATAAGTCAGTGCAACAAGCTAAGTTTTTCTCCGTTACGTTGACGATATAGTGAGAACAGTGAAGGGTGATCCTGAAAAAAAGCTACAGGCTGCAAACTTACTACAACCAAATTTACAGTTCACAATAGAGACACCAAACACAAACGGAAATTTGGCATTTTTGGATTTACAAATTAGAATTGACAAAAGCAGGAAAATTAGCTGTGCGTGTTATCAAAAACCAACAGATACAGGTACCATACTAAATTTTAGAAGCTGCGCCCCCCTTCAGTACAAGAGAAGTGTGATTGAAGGAACTGTTCACCGGGTTTTCCGCAGTACGTCAACATGGGAAGAATATGATAAAGCTATGAAAATTAACCGTGAGCAGTGGTTGGATAACCAATATCCGGAAAAATGGTCGTCGCGGGTTGCATCCCATGCCCTTGAAAAGATCATCAGCGAGGGCAAAAACAAAAAGAACGTGGCTGAGAAAAAGAAGCCCTGTGATTATAGCAGTGATTCACCACCCATCTTGATGTTCCAATATAGGGGGATTCACAGTCAGACATTAGCAAAAAAAAAATGCGCGATATCACCTATGCGCTGATAATATTCACGACGAGAAAAATGAAAACTTGTATGCCCTCTCTAAAATCCTCCTTTTCCAGTGAATTGAAATCAAAAGTGGTGTACAGACTTGAATTTTGTGGGTGCAAATCCATCTATGTTGGCCAGACGGTCCGACATCTCACCACAATGATTGAGAAACACCGAAAAGAGGATACCCCAGTTAGACAGCATATAAGGCAGTGTGGTAGTGAGAGTGGTAAGTCTGAGTTTAATTGGAAAATAATCGACCAGGCGTACAGCAGCATCAAATTACTTACATTAGAGGCGCATCACATTAGAAAAGAGAGACCGGCAATTAACACGCGCGACGAGTTTAGAAGTAGGGAGCTGACACTAAGGCTATAGTTCCAGAATCGAAAACTTCTGGCTAAAACAACAAAATTTTGAAACAACTTACATGTTAGCATAAAAATTAGCGACGAAACGAAATTGTGAAAACAAAAAGGATGAAAACTCTCAGAAAATTGTGAAAATTGTTTTAAGTTGTTACATAATAATTGTTACATAATTTCAGTGATATTTGTAAAGTTTTGATTGGTTGAATTTATAAAATTTTGAAGTAATGATTTGTATGACACTTTTTATGATCTTTGATCATTTTGTACGGATACTTTAGAATTTTTAAAACCTGAAGATGCACAAAAATGTGCAACAACTTTGTTTGAATTTACAATTTTAACCCATTCTCAAAATATTTTATTGTAAATGACATTTGTAAATTGATGTTTTATCGTCATTTAGATAAGTTTATTGTAAAAATCCTGACGATGCACATAGTTGCGAAAACGTTCGAAATTTACTTTTTAGCAAAAATTTTTTCGATATTTGTAAAAATTTTTGCTAAAAAGTAAATTTCAAACGTTTTCGCAACTATGTGCATCGTCAGGATTTTTACAATAAACTACTCTAAATGACCGGGCTTGAACACGCGCGATGAGTTTAGGAGCAGGGAGTTAACACTGAAAATTTAGTCCCAAAATATTTTTGGTTTTTTATTCAAAACGTACATGTCTAAATCGAAATTATGACTCAGAAACTTCCAGACAAATTAATTTTAAAATGTTTAATTAATTTTAGAGGTTAAAAGTATTTTAATCTTAATAGTAATTTAGAGGTCAACTGTGATTGGCTAATTTTTTATCATGATGGTTTAGAACCAAATTGTATGTGATTTATTGTAAATAACATTTGTAAATTGATGTTTTATCGTCATTTAGAGTAGTTTATTGTAAAAATCCTGACTATGCACATAGTTGCGAAAACGTTTGAAATTTACTTTTTAGCAAAAATTTCTTCAATTTTACTTGTAAATTCGTGATAAACCAAAAAGCGAAGAGCTTGAAATTAAAAACTGTTTTCCCATTAAAGGGCCAGTATAAAAATTTTTAATGATATTTGTAAAGTTTAGATTGGTTGAATTTTTAAAATTTTGAAGTAATGATGTGTATGACACTTTTTATGATCTTTGATCATTTTGTACAGATAATTTAGAATTTTTAAAACCTGAAGATGCACAAAAATTTGCGAAAACGTGTGTTTGAATTTACAGTTTTAATGCATTCTCAACATAAATTTGTTTCTAGGGAGCTGACACTAAGGCTATAGTTCCAGAATCGAAAAATTCTGGCTAAAACAACAAAATTTTGAAACAACTTACACGTTAGAATGAAAATTAGAGAAAAAACGAAATTGTGAAAACAAAAAGGATGAAAACTCTCAGAAACTTGTGACAAAATGTTTAAAGTTGTTACATAATAGTTCTTTCATAATTTCAGTGATATTTGTAAAATTTAGTCCCAAAATATTTTTGGTTTTTTATTTAAAACGTACATGTCTAAATCTAAATTATGACTCAGAAACTTCCAGACAAATTAATTTTAAAATGTGTAATTAATTTTAGAGGTTAAAGTATTTTAATCTTAATAGTAATTTAGAGGTCAACTGTGATTGGCTAATTTTTTATCATGATGGTTTAGAACCAAATTGTATGTGATTTATTGTAAATGACATTTGTAAATTGATGTTTTATCGTCATTTAGATAAGTTTATTGTAAAAATCCTGACGATGCACATAGTTGCGAAAACGTTCGAAATTTACTTTTTAGCAAAAATTTCTTCGATATTTGTAAAGTTTAGATTGGTTGAATTTTTAAAATTTTGAAGTAATGATGTGTATGACACTTTTTATGATCTTTGATCATTTTGTACAGATAATTTAGAATTTTCAAAACCTGAAGATGCACAAAAACGTTTGTTTGAATTTACAATTTTAACGCATTCTCAACATAAATTTGTTTCATTTGAAAAAAAAAAACATTAATCTTGATGATGCACATGATAGGCAAAAACGTTTGAATTAACATTTTTTGGAAGTAGTATTTTACAATGTTTCATTGATTGTACAGAACAATTAGTTCATTTTAGAATTTGGAAAGTGCAGTTTGATAGTGTCGGCGTTTTTAATGTCTTGTTATCGAGTTGAATTATTACTTCCGTATCTAGAAAATTCCGAGGTTTTTGACTGGAATACGTGGACTTCTGACTGTAACCTCGGTTACTTTGATACTTTTGACCTTCTGATTACTGTGGTTGAATTTACTAAGATATAAAACCAGCGATTTTTCAAAAACATTAATTACCCCAGCCTTTTTAAACGGTTGTTTTAGGTTAATTTCTTTCAACAGATTTTAGATAGCAATTTTGTCGTTTTTTCGAGGCACTATAGGTGTGAGCCATGGGCTAGTTTTTTTAGGTTTTTTGCTGATACAATATGGCTGCAAGAAAGGAAGCTTTTCCGCATATAGAAATTTTGCATTGCAAGAGACGCAAATCTCAGCATTTATTCATTTTTAGAAAATTGATTCCAGTTGTTTTTGACTTTACAAAAGTTGTCATGATGATTATGATTATTTCTTACATCTACTTTCAAATTTTTTGTCAAACAAAAGTGTAGTTTACAATTTGCAAAGATTTTTTGCTATTGTATATGGCTGGTCGTTGAAATGCCAAATTGTGAAATCGTCATGGAATGTTCAAATTGTTAAAAGGTTTTACGGTTATAACGTTTTTTTTTTTTGTTACGAAATGCTTGATATAGTTTGGATTATTTTAAAGAGAATCATGGAGCAACTTAACTTCAGTAAGAAACCAGATCATACCATGAACCAGGCCCAGCATATATGGAGCATGCTAGATGAGTTGTCTCTATCAGACCCTGATTCTTATCGGTCTTTTATATCGAAAACTCTCGCGGAGAGCAAGTCAGCTATTGAAAAAGAAAAACTTGTTACCAAATGGAAGGTCTTAATGGCCAAGTCAAATGCACTTCACAAAGAGCTATTATTAAACTTGTTAATTGACAAATCTATTCCCATTAAAACTGAAGACGAATTACCCTTAAAATCTACATGGACAGCAATTCCTATCGAAAAATACGTCATTGTTCACGTGTTTTTGCACCCAGCGATAGTTTCTAGCATTGAAAAAGAGAAAGCTGCTTACGATGAGCTCATAAAGTTTATAATCTATACACTGCAGCAGAAATCTAATTTGACGTTCGATCAGTCATCTCTACATGAAATCAACGTAAAAAACTTCAGTCAAATTGTTGCCTGTGAATTGGATAAATTCACTGGAAAGTTTCCCTCAGTTTCCCCGAAGTCGAATAATCGAGATATATCTTCAATGAACCCTGCTCCTGATATACAATTACCTTCTATGGTTCATGAGGTTTCAGAGCCGGAAAATTTTTTTGATGACGATCCACCAAAATTAAAATGCAATCTTGTTCAGGAAATAAATTCGACTAATGGGGGCATTCCCGAGCCGATTTACAACTACTCCTGTGAAAATGGTGTTTTGCTGTACCAAATTGAATTACCAGACATTGAAAAGCTTGGAGATTATGAATTGACCTTGACCACAGGTGGAATCATTTTTGAAATTCACGGAAAATACAGACTGGAGCACCCGCATAATTTGAAAATAGATGAAAATAATGTCAGTGCAAAATTTGTTCGAAAATTGCGACGTTTAAAAATAAAACTTCAGCAAATGTGCTAGTTTAGGCTGCACTTGTATATTGTTTGATTTGTGTATATAAAAATGCATTTGTAAAAATTGAAGTCACATGGATGGTAAATTTCTTTATGCGGAGGTTTGACGATGTATTTTGTTTCAGAAGCATCTCTGCAGTAGCAAAAAAACTCAACATTATGGAAACAAGTATACTTTTTATCAGGTTTGTTTCAGATTGGGGTGTAAAGGTGGCGAACTTAGACACTTCGGACACTGGTTTCTCCTCAGATGAGGATGAATCTAGTGGCGAAAGAGGATGTGCGGTGGGAGGAGCGGAAAATGCCGTCGATAAGTTTTCAGTGCGGCCTAAAATTAACAACATATATGAACAGGTTCGAAACAATCTTCCGGCTATCGAAGACAACTTATCGGTGAGTTATTTTTTTTGTTTGTGTCTGGAATAGGCTACTCATGTTGGCTACTTCAAAAAAATTGAACACTTAAAACAAAACTACTGGACAAAAATTATCAATTTTTTGTTTTAACATCTGCTGTCTTGCTTTAGTTCTGAGAATAAATGAGTTGTTATATCATTTCAGGAGGATGATTCGGACAGCGAGATTAAAATATTCACTCGGAATCTGCCTAGTTTGGGGCCTAAAGTGTATACAGACTTCGTGGATGATCCGGAAGAACTGAAAGGTCTTATCGACCACAGCAAGAGCAGAAGTATACGGAGTATTAATCAAGCGGCAACATCTTCTTCTCAGACGTCTACTGTAACTAAGAATGGCGACGGTGATCATACTCCTGCAGCGAAGTTCGAGTCGAAAGTCAATGCCGCTCTGCAGTCTAAGGCGGCTGACAAGAAAAATGCTAAAACAAAGAAATTGGAAGATTTCGAACAGGAAGCTGACAGAATGGGTTAGAAGTGTTGAAGGGGGATTGTTCACTTCGTTTACTGGATTGTTTACTTCTTCTATTGTTCACTAGGGAGATTTTTAATCCGTGTATTTTGGGGCGAGATTATTCACATAGCCTAATTTTATTTGACGAAGGAATTGTATATTTTCGCTAAAAGTATTTTCAATCAAACACCTTTTGGAAAGTAATTCCCCGGAAAGCTATTTGTTTGAAAATTTAATTGCTAGCTCAAAAAGAAGCTATCTTATAATTTGTTGACATCGACGTCAAGTGATGCTGCTTAGCTGAATAATGGCTAACAGATGATTTGTTTTAGTGCGAGAGGTGTTTGCGTCTGATGACGCTTCTGCAGATTTTGCATACGTTCAACCCATAATGTTGTCAACTCATGGACTCACCCAGAATTCATTTGACACCTTTCTTGGTCGAGTTTCTCCTGATATGAGGGAAGTTGTTTCACCAGAGAATTCCAGTCGATTGGATTACACAGACTCAAACATATTCAGACCAGTTCAAAATGGAACGGGTTCCGGTGACAGACAGCAGACAATTGGTGCACCAAAACGAAGTTTGATGCCATCCTACGATCCAGATAGTAAGTTACAATACTAGAAGTTTTGGTTCATGATCAGGCAGATCCAAATTTCAAAAGAAACACGAGTTTTTTATTAAATAATTATACTTGTTATGTAAGGTGATTTCCTGTTCCTTTGAAATTCCGTTGTTGATTTATCGCACAAGATAGGAAGCTCCGCGCTGCCTTTCTTTATCAGAATGGGCTCGTTATTTCTATTTATACCAAAATATGAAGAGCTTTTTGCATGTAGTGACGGTCGGGTCTTATTAGCGATAGTTTCGATGACTCTTTTAAGCAAAGCTGCGGAACTGATCATTATTGTTTTTTTTTATAACAAAAATCAATAAATCATCTGAAAAATTGATGCAAAAAATCACTGTGTGGTTGTATTTGAACAAATTTATCTCTTAAATAGCTACACAGGTTTTGTATGCTGTCCTTGAGAAACTTACGTTAGAGTTAAAACCGTTTTCTGGGTTTGTTAATACGTTTTGTCGCATAGATTTGCATCGCACACAAGCGATTCTACAACTGTTTCTGTAATAGTGTTTTCTTAATTTATTTTCCGTGTTTCAGCTGCCAATGATATGCTTATGGACAAACTCTCTAAACTAGCGTTTCGACAACAGGAAAAACTCGAGTAAGATTTTGAATAACAATTATTGTTGCCGTGCAAGGTGCACAGAAAGATTCGACCACACTTACTTTGCACAAATGAGCTTATTTTCAGACACAAAAAAAAGATTAATAATAATTCAAACCCATTGGTTAATTTATACAAGATAATATCTATGATATATCTATTAACTATTATATATTTAAATGCGGGCTTCACTATTTCGCCATGTTTAAGTTTTTTCAACGTATTCTTTTTGCATGTTTAAAAAAAGAATTTTTGCACCTTTAAGCTAAATCGTATATTGCAATGGTTAAGATCTTTTTTTTTTCCATTTTCCAGTTTAAATTCAGTGTTTATTTCATCAAGTTTGAAATTAGCAATCCAATAGTGAGATTTTTTCAGGATTTTCCCAGGTTTTGCGAATCTGGCCTCCATATATGAACAAGCAAATCCTTTCAGTTTACGAGATACGGCAATTTTCGAGATTTTTCAAAAATTTCTAGAAAGTTTAATTTTAAAAAATTTCTTAATTTTTGAAATTCTCTCCCTGTAGTTGGGTGCTGTCAGGATACTCTCAGGGGTTGCGAATCTTGCCTCCAAAGTTTAACTTCTCAAATCCTTGCAGTTTTCGAGATGATGTTTTTTATGATTTAAAAAAATAAATTTAAGTTTTTTTTTTGAAAAAAAAAATCATTAGAACGGTCTTATCTCGAAAACTACAAGGATTTGAGAAGTTGAAATTTGGAGGCAAGCGTCGCAACCCCTGATAGTATCCTGACAGCACCCAGCTACAGGCTAAGATTTTAAAAAATTCAGAAATTTTTTAAATTTAAATATTCTAGACCTTTTGAAAAATCTCAAAAATTGCCGTATGTCCTAAACTAAAAGGATTTGCTTATTCACATATGGAGTCGAGAATCGCAAAACCTGGAAAAACCGTGACAACATCTCACTATTGGATTGCTAATTCCAAATTTGATGAAATAAACACTGAACTTAAACTGGAAAATGGAAAAAAAAAAGATCTTAACCATTGCAATATACGATTTAGCTTAAACGTGCATGAAATCTTTTGTTAAACAAGCAAATCGAATACGTTGAAAAAATTTAAACATGGCGAGATAGTGAAGCCAGATAAATAATAGATGACGTTTTTTATGGTTTTTTCAAAAATTTTCAAAAAAAAACAGGTTTAACAAAAATTTTGTGAAGATCTCAATCATGTTGTTCGAAACTGTGATAGTACTATCAGGGGTTGCGGATCTTGCCTCCAAATCTGAGTGCTCAAATCTTGTTTGTTTTCCAAATATGACACTTCTTTGTCATTTTTTCAAAAAAAAGTCCGAAAGCCTAAATTAAACCTCTTTTCAAAATCTGAAATTGCTAACCTGTAGATGGGGGCTGTCGCGGTAATCTCAGGGGTGGCGAATTCGGCTTCCAATTAAGAATGCTCAATTTTTTTCAGCTCACGAGATACGATGATTTTTGTGGTTTTTCAGAAATTTTCAGAAAACTCAAATTACGAAACAGTTCACAAAAGTGAAATTCTCAACCCTGTAGTTGTGTGCCGCCAGAGTACTGTCAAGGATTTCGTGTATTGCCTTCAAATAATACTGCTCAAATATTGGTAGTTTTCGAGGTGTGACCTTTCTTTTGGCTTTCAAAAAATATCTTTTTTTTATAGAAAATTCAAGTTTGAAGTTTCTCAAAATTTGAACTTCTTAACGTTGTAGTTGGCTATTGTAAGAGTTCTCTCAGGAGTTTCAAATCTTGCGTTCAACTGAGGCTGCTCAATTGCTTTTAGTTCTAAGATTGCCGTTTCTTGGTTCATTTTAAATTTTTTCAAAGAACTTCACAAAATTTGACCAAATTTAATGGTTTTTCAAAAATTGTATTAATAAATTTGAATAAAAAACTTTGCAATAATTGTAATTACGAGCCCTGTAATTTGATGCTGTCAGAGTACACTCAATGGACGCAGATCTAATTTCCAATAAATGCGGTTTTTATGAGTAATTATTTTCAGAGAGTTATTTTCAGATGGAGAAAAAATATTAACTATAATTCAAACCAATTGGTTAAATTATACCAGATACTAGTTATAGGATTGCGAGTTTTGGCTGAAAGGTTGACCTCTCAACTCCTTGTAGTTTTCGAGATATCGCAATTTTTGATTGAAACGAAAAATTGATACTTTGAAATTTACAAAAAAAAAATTGTTCCAAAGTTTGAAATTAGTAACCATTTAGTTAACTGCTGTTAAACAATTGCACTGAGGTTTCGAATCTTAGCTGAAAATATGACTTCTTAAATCTTGGTAGTTTTCGAGATATCGCACTTTTTATGATTTTATCGAAAAACTCTTGATACTTAGAAATTTAATTTTGAGTTTTTTTAAGTTTGTGATACTTTTACCTATTTGGTTAAAGGCTGTTAGACAATTGAACTAGGCTAACGAATCTAAGCTGAAAATATGATCTCTCAAATCCTGATAGTTTTCGAGATATCGCAATTTTTATGATTTCATCGAAAAACTCTTGATAGTTAGAAATTTAATTTTGAGTTTTTTTTAAGTTTGTGAAACTTTTACCTATTTGATTAAAAGCTGTTAGACAATTGAACTAGGCTAAAGAATCTGGGCTGAAAATATGACTTCTCAAATCCTGATAGTTTTCGAGATATCGCAATTTTTATGATTTCATCGAAAAACTCTTGATACTTAGAAATTTACTTTGAGTTTTTTTAAGTTTGTGAAATTTCTACCTATTTGGTTAAAGGATGTTAGACAATTGCACTAGGCTAAAGAATCTAGGCTGAAAATATGACTTCTCAAATCCTGATAGTTTTCGAGATATCGCGCTTTTTATGATTTTATCGAGAAATTGATACTTAGTAATTTAATTTGAGTTTCTTTCAAAATTTTGTGAAATTTTTACCTATATGGTTAATTGCTGTTAGACAATTGCACTAGGCCAACGAATCTAGGCTGATAATATGATGTCTCAAATCCTTGTAGTTTTCGAGATATCGCGTTTTTTATGATTTTTTTCGAAAAATTCGTGATACTTTGAAATTTACAAAAAAAAAATTTTCAAAAGCTTGGAAGTTTTTCACCTATTTGATTAAATGCTGTTAGACAATTGCACTAGGCCTACAAGTCTATGCTAAAAAAAATAATTTATAATTTTTCTAAAAATTGATGCTTAAGATTTAAAAAAAATTCTTCTTTTGAAATTTTTACCCATTTGGTATAATACTGTTAGACAATTGCACTAGGCTTGCAAATCAGGGCTAAGAATTTGAAACTCAAATCCTTGTAGTATTCGATAAAAAATTACTAATAACGATAAAAAGTTTTAATAACTAATAATAAAAAATATATCTTGAAGTTTTTTTTCATTGATATGCTTAATGGGTAGACTCTAAGTGGGCAATCTCGATGCCCTTTGTCTATCCACTCCAAAGTCTGGTGCTCATAATGTTGGCATAATTGTTCCATTTCTAGTAAATGTATATTTGTTATATGCTGATGTTGTTTGTTGTAACTTATGGAGAAATAAAATCTTCTATAAGCTTGGTGTAGGCGCTTATAGAAGCCTAAAGACCTTTCTATTGAATTAAATTAACTTGAAGAAGAATACTTACAAAACTATTTACAATAGAAAACGAGGATAGCCGGTTGCTGTGCAAGTAGCACAGAATGTTCCGACCATATTGTTAACAACATGCATTAACTTTTTAAATAAATATTGTTTTTTTTTGCGTGCTGCGATGAAAGATCTGAATAAAACTTGAAGTTTTAGAATATTCGACAGCCACAGTAATATAGGCAAATCGGATAATGGTTTTTGAAAAATGAAAAGTAAAAACTGAAATTGAACAAAAAATCTATTTTTTTTTGCAGAAATTGCTGATGTAGTTTTTTAATTGCAAAAAAGGCGTAAAAATTCCAAAAATGTTTTTGGCTTATCCTTTTATAATAAGGCTGCTCTCTTGCTTAAACTGATCGAAATTAGACTCAATTTCATCAATTTCTTCTAACCAGTTTCTGTGGTTAAATGAAGTTTTCGAATTTTTTTTTTATTTCGTTCAAATCACGACTGAAAGGGCTTTAAAATGATAAATCACTCGAACCATTCTCATGATTACAATTGCAAACTTTAGTGAGCGTTAGTGTTATACTATGAATTTTTTCTAACCTAAGTAGCCAATATTGGTGCCACTTCTGGTGGCACCTAACGGCTTTTTGATAGAATGTGCTTTGACAATCGATTAGTAATAAGTTAACAAATTGATTATACTGGCGAACTTTAGTGAGCGTTATTGTTATACTACGATTTTTTTTCTAACCTAAGTCGTCAATATTGGTACCACTTTTGGGGCAACTTTACGGCTCTTTGATAGCATGTGCTTTGACTTTCGAATAGTAGTAAGTTAACGGAGTTGATTTTTTTTTCCAAAATAACAATGATTTTTTTGAACAAAACAACAATAATAGAAACTCGATTTCAGAATTTTTCTGTCTCAATAAATCTCGCAGGTTTCTGAAATGCTTTATTAATACATAATGTGGCTTTATGCTTTCCAATTTATTGTAGGCAAAGTTAGTGTGGATGCCTTCAGTTTGTCATATTCCAAATTGTTGCTTGCAAAAATGTGTCTTTAACATATGTAGTTCTTTATATGCGACTAGTGTTTGCCGATTGTTAAGCGTTCGTGATCGAGAGGGGAGGGCGTGAGACGCCAATTCTCGGTGTCGCTTGAAAATGTGTAGAAAATTTTACTAATTCGGGGCTTATTTCTTTTTTTTTTTCGGATTTCAATTTATACAGCTGCGTTTTTGTGCTGTTCTCGTTAGTATTTGCGAAGCAGCTTCGCTTCTGTTATTTGTGGCACCTGATTTTGCTAGAAAATAAAGAAAAAGAAAAACTGAAACACCCGATAAAAAAGTGCCTCCCCATTTTTCAATTGGTCGGAACAATAAATTGTTTTTCCTTTAAATGCGTTTTTGGACGCAATTTCATTCTCCACCAAAAGTAATGAATTTCGTCTTAAAATAAAGTTTCATACCGATAATAATAAATTTTTTGAAATTGCTAACTTTTAATCAAATAAAGGGTGTGGGCTTTTAAAAGTATACAAATCAATCTCATCTTTTGTTTATATGTGTCAAACCTAAATTTGTGATTTATAAACACTCAACGAAATAGTTCCTTTTGACAAACACTATATTAACCAATTGTAATTGAGGCAAAAAAGCGAACGTAAGAAATAATTATTATTTCTCAATTTTGATTGGTTAATATAGTTATTATATACTTACGACGAGCAGGTATACGTGTTTGTCTACTTGCAGACCGCACTCTTTTATTTCTAGAGTAAGTTCACAATAAAAACTTGGCTATTTTTAGGAAAGCTGCTGCTGATCGCCAAGAAAACATAATCAAGTCAGTCGGAATCCAATCCAAACCTGCCATTGTTAAAAACACGAAACAAGTGGAGCCAAATAGTGCAACTCGAATGATAAGCGCGCTGACATCCACCGACTCTGAACTTGAGTCTTTAATCAGAGGACCTTCTAAAGTCGAAACTGCCACCGGATCGACGTCACCTATTACTTTCGACACTTCTGCGAAGTTTAAATCAACAGGTTGACCAATAAGTTTCGAAGCTTGATAGTAGCTCAACCATTATGAAGGTGGTGAACTTGTTTTCTATCGAGTTGTGCAAATAATTAACTCCGTTTTGATTGATAGTTCAGTTTAACAGCTGTCTTGGAAAGGATTCGTGTCGTTTGAACTTGTTTTTGATTTTCGTTGTTGTTTTAGGAATTAGCACAAGCAATAACCAATCTGGAACTGAACGTGTGGTTCACTTTGCCGGATCCAATTACGCTCGTCATTCGGCACAGGTAATTAAATTTGATCCGAATACGTGCAAAGTGTCAAAATCATTATAACCAATTTACCTTTTTCTGGGCGTTTCCGCTACTAGTACTGCTTATATGCATGTGAACATGATTGGTATGAAATTGTTGATGCAGATAATGGCGGATCCGTCTCTTCTGAATACCCAATCAGATTCGAGTGATTCTGAAGAAGATTCCGACAGGTTTGTCTCCACTTCTCGACTGTGGCATGAGGAACGTCGAATGGTGAAACAGCAGATCAACAAAAACCAGATCGAATCTAACCAGAAGTCGAACAACAGGGCGCTCAGGTTTGTTGGCTGCTCTACCTTATAGTTTTGAATGAAATCGTTCAAATATGAATAGCTGCTGTCTAGTAATAAAACTAGAATGTAGTGTGGAATATATTAGTATGACAGAAATCTGAAGGAAAGTTGTAAGTCTGCTGAAATTGTGTGCCTTGCGAGTTTTACGTTTATCAAAAACGAAGGTCAAATAAATGGTTTTAGCAGCATTGTCAACAAGTCGACAACGGTCGAGCTCGACTTAGCTGACCAGAAGTGGGGAAAGTCGAAAAATGAAAAAAATGACATTGAGAAACTTGATCTGATTGAGTCATGGGCGTGGCCTAAAGAGGACGCTTGGCTCTTGGAGAAAGACGACCAACAAGATGAAGTGACGAATAAGGAAAGTGCGATTAGTGTGTCATCTTTCAGGACGGATTCGATTCCTGACGAATACGCGGATGAAGATGAATTTATGGATTCAGAGGAGAGCAGCTTTCTCAAGAGCTCAATGGACGAAAATTTCGGAACTTTCCGTCCACGTGAACTGAACAAAAATGAATCGCAGGATGACGTAACGAGAGATGATGCAATACAGGTAGAGGTGGTTGATTACGAAGAGATGATTATTCAACGTAAAAAAGAAAGGGTTAGATTGGAAGCGATAAGGGAATCAAGGCTGCGATTGAAAGAGCAGTTGAATAGTATATACAAGCACGACTGTCAACAGAAGGAGCAGTTTCCAGCATACAATACAGAGCCGGTCTATGATATCGTAAGTTCAATTTACATACTACGTGGTTAACAAATGGTACAACTGATAAATGGTACAACTGATTTATGCAGTAGTGTGTGGTCGCAACTTAACATTGTATAGGGTTAATGTATATTTTTGCAGAGTGATAAAAACTTGGGAATTGAATTATTAGATGAATGCACTTTGCTCTGTTTATGTTTTAGGATGAAAGCTACTCGGACGCAATTGCCCCGCTACCCGAAAATTCAGAATTCAAATACGAAGACCTCTTATTGCTTACAATTAAAATGAACAAACCCAACGGCATCAATATCGAATCCATCTCAGAGTTACATTCGCATCAAAAAGATGAACCCAATAACTCAATGCAGAGCATTGGTTGTTTCTGTGCGGTACTCACTTGGCTTTTGTCATTGGCCAAAAGTACAAAAGACATTTACACGAGCTACCAGAAAGTTAGAAGCTCCAGCACAGATTCGGATTTCTACGTGCCTTTCTCGACAGTTTCAATGCAACAAACAGTGTTGCAGTCTGAATTGATTGTGCATGTTGCGATTTGTCCAGCGTACCCTATTTCGTTTCTGCGTGATCACTTTCTGAAGACGAAGAAAAAACCGAAGGCTGGCCAGGGTTCAAACAAGAACATTTTCTACCAAATAGTGTCCAAGTTTCTGAGTAGCGTTAAATTGCAAGATGTAATTGATTGGGATACGGATTTAATCGCTAGTAGAGTGCTTGAGAATCATGTTTACAAACCGAGAATTTCAGACTGTTTACTATCATCAATCATTTCGATATCTGGGGACAAAAAGCAATCAATTCATCTGTTCGACTCATTACCTGGGTTTTTCTGGCACACTATAAATACTCCTGAATGTCTATTGAAAATTTCGGATTTTGATGTATATTTGACGGAGTTCGATTCTGAAAGTGCCTCATATTCAACTGAAAATGCTGTCTGTTTAGTCGACGAAGAAATTTACGGAGACAGAATTAAAATGTACCATCTGCTGATGAAGCTGCTGCATATGCAGCTTGACCTATCAGGCTTAAGGCTTCTTCACCCAACAGTTGACCAGTTAGAAAATTCAGTCCATTACCACCAGTTCAAAGACTTCTCAAAGTATGGTACAGACAAGAATACCCAAGTTTCAGTTTTGGCGCTGGCTTTGAGAGGACACAATGCGTTCAACAAGTGGAATTGTGTGGTTGGTCATTTGAACCCAGTGCTCGCTAAAATCACTGAACCAAATAGTTTGACAGCAATGTTTGGTAGCGATTCGAGTTGCTACATTTACGTTCCAAGAAATCATTCACGCCAGGAGTTTGTGAAGTATTTTGGAACAAGACTTGACGTTTCTAGTTCAGTAAACACGAAAGAATGTAGGTTTTACTCCAAATTAAATACGTCTTCTGATGTCAAAGTTGAAAAGCCGAAAAGTCATAAAGATATGACGGAAAGTTCCTCAGATGACGTAATTGCATCACCTCCGAGCATGCTTTGTGCTGTCATTCACTCATACATCATTCTCATCATTTCGCCATTAGTGCCTTTCCAGATCTCAGGTTATATATTATCCGTATGCCAAGAATATGGATTCGAATTTCGTGGCCTCAGAAGAAGCTTTATGGACCATAAAACGAGTCATGTAATGGGTATTCCAAATAGTTCTTTCGGCTGTTTCTTCCAAAACGACAAGCCAGAACCTGCTACTTGTATAAGACTAAGCGGAGAGAATGCATCATCACATTGCTGGATGCTCATAAACAACATTTATAACCAACTGTGGGGTCGCTTGTCATGGAGAATTGACCCCGAGTTTAAAAACAAATTGTTCTTTTGTGTCAACGAAACTGCAGCAGTAATCCAATGCTTAGGAGGGGATTTTGAGTCTTCTCCGAATCATTTGTCAACCGGATCACTGCCACGCTACATCGATGATTACGAAACTGACATCTACACTGAGTCTCTCTGTGTTGTGTGTTTTGTCGGAAAAGCCGAACTTAGATCAATAGGATTCGAGCTGGGAAAACTGTCAAATCTCGTCTATGAAAGTCGCTTTTCGCCACAATACGATGCTCCAAGATCTACCACTTTCTCCTGCGAAGAAATGGAGATATTGGGAATTAAATACAGAACAAAACTGACTAAGTCGCAATCAAGAGAGCTGACGGTTTTTGAAGTCGGGGATCCAAGTTACTCGGCTAGTTTGGAGTTCTTGTCGAACAACCCATGTGTGACTGTTTGTGTGCGAGGTTTGAACGTGTTTGAAAAAGTGAAAAAGGTATTCAGTATCGACAGCAAAGGTGTAGCGGCTGTGCTTCCGAGTCACGCGTTCAAGAACCTAACTCGCTTTATGAGTTACAACACAAAAGAGACTTATAAACTGATGAAGTTGTTCTTCGATGACTCTGAACTGTTTTCGGACGATGCTATGAGAACTACTTTGTCGCATAAACCATGTGGAGTGGAAACGAGAGCAGTAAAACTAGCAAAGTTGGGACAATTGGACAGCCAAGGAAGAGGAAAGCAAGCCAAACAAGACCTGAAAGGATCGGTGCTAACTGTGAAAGTGGAATCAATTTACTCAACAATTCTTGCAGGTGTGTTGTTGAAATTTTATTACGTCGATTTCTCACCCAAATATGGCGGCATTTCGGTTTTAGTGAGAAAACATTGAATTTGATTTTCTGCTCTGAATTGATTATGTTATGAGAGTTGTAATAATAAACATTTTTTTATAGGCCCTTCGATTGTTCCAACATGTTTTCTCGTGAAACCTGACGCGTGCTTCCGATTCTTGCCTTTTGTGTTGAGAACCATCTATAAGGAGAAGTTTTCTGTTTTGGGAACGGAACTCCTGGAGTTGGGTGACGAGCACATCAAATTCCTCAAATCACAGGTAGTTTTTTCAGTTTGATCATTCAAGATTCGTTTGAATTGAAGTTGTTAGTGATCGAAGATTTTGTTTCACGTACCTTCCAGCACTTTTTTCTAATAATTGGACCAAATACGTTGCTTAACTCGTTTTTTTTTGCCGTAAGGTTGAGACCGTTGTCGATCTAAAATACAAAAAAATAAGTTTGTTCAAATATGGTGATCAGATAATATAAATGTAATTTTTTTCAGGGAAAGTTAAACTAGCAAAAACTTACGTTTTGTCTGTACATAAAATTCAATTAAATACATGCAATCTTATTGTTCCAAAATGAGTGCAAAAATTCAAATACTTTTCAGCTTCCGCCCGGTGCCAATTCCTCCTCTGTGTTTCGGTGGTGTGACGATGGCCCAGTATGTGTTATTGCGGTGGAGAGGACATCGGCAGTAACTGCTCTATTGCAGCTGATTGGCCAGTCGACAAGTGACCCCCTCACTGCCAAAAGACTGTTCCCCAAGTCATGGACTGCGCAGTTTGGAAGGGACGAGTTCGAAAACGGATTCTTAGGTAAATATTATAGATTTAACCTTCTGAATAAAAGCATACTTTTTATGAAGGGCGGAAATCATTCAAACGAGAATTGAAACACGATGGTCAAATATGCACATGTTCCCATAGACCCGTACCTTAGTATAAAATTAAGTAGCCCAATAAAAAGACAAATCCGGTGTTGTTGGTCTTCTAATCATTTGAATGAAAAATGTGTTGCGGAAATTAGTTGTTTGAAACTAGGAAGCTAATTGTCAAATCTTACACTAAGTTTTTAACTTTTCAGTTCCTCAGACGTACGAAGAGAGCGCGAGTTACCTCAACTTCTTTTTCCCTAAAGGAGTGCTACATTCTAAGTCATGGAACAAAATGTCTCCAGGATCTGACAGAGCACTCGCGTCCTTCCAAACCAGCAACAGAACTCTACTGCTGGAAAGTAAGCATGTGTAATAGCATTAAATTGTAAATCAATTTATACTTTAAGAGATATGAACGTAGTCTTTGAACGTATCTAGTTTTCTCTAATTCGGTTAATTGTTAAGAGTAATGAACGTAGTGAAGACTCTTAGATAGGTCTTGGGATTTTTTTTTCAGATTCGTGTTTGAAAATTATGAATTAAAAGTTGATGAATTAGGCGTTGATAAATTTGAGTGTTTTTAGAAGACAGATTGCTTTCTGAAGCCAAACTTTCACAAGAGGGTAACGCCAGCAATGTATTATCAACTGCCCACTCCCTGCTTAACCAAGTCAACATTCTCATCTTGCCAAGCAATCTACTTAATACTAAACTTTCCGCAAATTATGTAACCTCACCATACAACAGTAACCATTTGGACCATACTGGAGAGGTGCCTGTGTATGTGGACATTCTGATCCAGCTGAAGACGAAGGGAGTAAATATTCTGGGATTGAGGATGCTCTCGATGAGTGCAAAACAGTCGAAACTAGTGCTCAAAGTTCTCGGAATGCAGAACGACCAACAGAAGGTTAATGAAACTCAAATTTGAGAGCTGAAGTATTTCAGCAACTGAAAGTTTTCATGACTGATATCTGGTGTAGCTTACCTTTTTAGTCTGTATACAGTCATTTGGACAAACTGTACATATACTTTGAGGATGCTATCAAGAACACTTTGTCCGCCGAAATCTGACTTACCACCTGTGCCAGTATCTATTTACACTATCGATCAGCTTAGTGAATTATTATTACGAACCTTCTTTTTTTTCTAAGCTAACTCGCAAATAAAAGTGTTCGATTATTTGGAATGTTCACTGAGCATTGGAAATTGCACAGCATCTGTTCTCTGCTTTATTTGTGGCTAGTGTTTGGTGCCTATTAAGCGCCCGGGACTGAGTGGTTAGTGTTGTTCAGACTTTAAATCTTAAGGTCGCAGGTTCGAATGTCAGACATAGCCGATTTTTTTTTTTTTACTAATTCGAGGTTTTTATATTTTTTATTATTGCACTTTAGAGCTGGTTTTTGTCGTGTTCTTGCTAGTGTTTGCGAAGCAAAGTTTCGCTTGTGTGAAAAATAGATTTCCTTTTAATCGACTGAATTTTAGAACGGGTTGTAAAACTTCCATTGTTTTCTGAAATGAATTAAATTTATTTTACCCTTTTTGGATAGATGGATCTGATCTGTGGGGGACCTTGTCTGGCTGTGGCCTTTCACAGAGACAATGCTGTCATCTGTTTTGAACAGATGCTCGGAAGGTAAACGTTTATCTATATCTCAATTTTAAAGGAATTATTTTGGCCTGTTTTCAGTTATAGTTAAAATTACTTTTTTAGTACATACGACGGTAACTCGCTATATTCGAGATACAATGACCAAATTATCAGACCGACAAGTCTCATTGAAGTAAGTTTTTAATCATCATTATAAAAAAGCTGATTACGCATGGCTCATCGAATTTCGTGAGTAACTTATGACTTATACTATTTCAGGTCAACGTGTTACTGCCAATGTTGTTTGAAAGTCTGGTAGACAATGATTATGGAATGATCATTTGTCCCTAGCCAAAATACGAAGTTGGATCATATGATAAATTCATCGTGAAAACACTATCAATTTCTCTGCGATTTTTGTAACTAAATCATTTGGTGCTACCGTTTTGCATCGATGGATTTCAGCATTATCTCAGCAAAAGGTACGAAAAACTATATAAATGATAAATGTCCAATAAATCTCAGAACCACTTTCTAGATAAGTAACAGCTTTGCTTGGCTTATGAACAGCTTTTGTTGTAAACTGCTTGATTTCCAAATCCTATAATTTGGTTCGGAAAGATAATTCCAAAAGCTCGTTACTTGAATGAAATAATTGAATCAATCAATTGTAAATAATTCTTTTTTTTTGTAAAAATCGCTGTTGTATTATCCTGTTGTAAATAAAGTCATATCAGTTCAGTTCAGTAAAAATAAACGTATACTCGAGGTGTTTTGTAATAGGTCGAATTTCATCGATGAAATTTTCTAGTGTATTTGCTTGCGAGGACCGGTATTCAATTCATTGCTAGACTGTGATGCAGTGTTTACACTAACGAGCGTAGTGTGATAGGACGACTTGCCTTTTATTTTCCCATCCAAGTCGCAAATATTGGTGGCACCTTACGGCTTTTTGATAGCGTGTGCTTTGGCATTCAATTTATAATAAGTTAGCACAGTTGATTTTTTTTTAATTCATCAAATGAACCGAAAAAAGCTATTTTTTTAAACAATAGTACAGTTATAAAAACTCGATTGCAGAAGTTTTCCAACTCAATCTATATAGCATTTTTTTGAAATACATAATTTATTCATAATTAGACATGCATTCCATGTATTATATGCAAAGTTAGGGTAAATGCCTTCAGTTTTTAGATTCCAGTTTATTAAATGCAAAAATGTGTCGTATTTGGTTCCAATTTTGCTGCATCGCGTTGGCATTTAATTAACATATGTATCTGCTTCATTTGTTACTGGTTATAGTAAATTGTCAAGGGCTTGTGATGCAGAATCGAGGACATGGGACTCTTAGTCTCCTGGTTGTAGGAGCGAATCCGCCTCAGCAAAAGTTTCAAATTTTCAATGCTCATTTTTACTTTTTTCTTATTTCCTTTAATAGAGCCTTTTTTGTTATCTCGCTAGTCTTTGCTTTCAGTTTTCTCGAGCAAATCGATTTGTGAAATGAAGATCAGTGTAATTTTTTTTGAAATGTAAATGAACGAAGTGAGTTTTCATTTATGTGAATGCTTTTTGTTTCTTTTTAAAGCAATTCTTTTTTGACTTCGAAAACTTTTTTTATTTCTATGTTATTTTCACTTCTTATTTGACTACTTAGTAGAAGCAAGTCCTAATAGAGTCGCCCAGATGAACAAAAATGAATCTCTTCCGATGTGCGAGTAAAATACGGGCAATATGGAGTCAATTTGTTTTGATGATAGATGTATTGCTTAAATTCGCATACGTTGGTTGGCATTTATCAATCGGTATTATGTTCTTGTTTCATAAAAAGAAAGTAAGTGAGATAAAAAAAGGGTATTGCAATCGGGCAATCGGGTGCAGCAGTTTTTCTCGCGAATAACTTCGTTCACAGAATGGTCATAATTAGAAATGGTGTACATTTAGGTTCAGATCATATTGAATTCAGTTTTTCATTTGCGTCTCCAACACATTGGGTTTGGAAGTAACGACTATGCCTGGGACGTCATTGGACCTGGGTTCGAAACTGGCAGGACCTTTTAATTCAAATGGCAAATTTTTCGTTTCAAAACAAATTATGGGCTTAATATTTGTCTGGTTTTTTTGTCGGATTAGTTGCCACATCGTATAATTGTTTTTTTTTGCCGTACGCTTTTAACATTGCAGTTGCGATAAGTGTTACGATCTACTTCTGCTGTTTGTAATTTCTTGACTTCGTATATTTTTGTTTTCGATCAAACAATTTTTTCTGCTCAAATGATTTCGGATTTTATTTTATCGCCTGAGTGACCTTATTCTGAGTTGTTTCCAGGCAAGATTTGCAGGTTGATAGGATTGGGGTCTAAATTATATCAGCATAATGGTCTCATTTTGCGTGTTGTAAAATTGTAATTTACCATTTCTGATTTTGGGTAATTTTGTTTTCATTTTTTGTTTCCGTTTTTAAATGCTGAAGCATTTTCAATTTGTTATAACAGCTTAGTCAATTTGTTTTGCTTAATTTCGTGCGCATTTTTCGGCTTTGTTATTGCTTGGTTTATTTTCTTCCGATTCGAATTTCACGATCTATTATCCTGGAATGCTATTGCTTCAAAACTAGCCTAATTCATTTTGACTTGTCTAGTTTTTTTTGACAATTTTTTTTTTTTTCTGATTTAGCTGCTTTCTGGTTGAGTATCGCAAGTGGTGCCAAGCGCAGCTTTGCTTCAGTGTATAAATGCATGGGATTTTGTTTTTTCATTTACTCTTGCGATAAGCGAGGATTTTGCAATCGGTTACTAGATTTTTTTCCCGTAAATAACTTGTTCACAGAGTGGTCAGTTTATTAGGAATGGTAAACATCAATTCTGACCAGTTCAATTCCTAGAAAATTCAAATAAAACCACCATCATTTAAATTGTAATAAGGTAAAGCCTGTTTCAGGTTGTAATTATTTTTTCTGTCGAGATTTTTTTCGAGTTCGTGATTTTAGTTTCTGTCGGTTCATTTTCTGTGTTAAGACGGATTTTTTTTTGCATTTGGGAGAGTTTTTTTGGCCTACTTGCTAAAGCATGATTTTTGTTCCAATTTGAGCAGTTTTTTACGGTAACTGAAAGTTCAGTAATTTGTAAACTAAACAAGTCTGATTTTTTTTCTTTTTTTTTCGCTTTTGTAAATGCTTCAACAATTCTAATTTAAGTTAAAACAGCTGACTCAATTTATTTTGCTTAATTTAGAATGGATGGTTTGAAAAAACTGTATGAAAATTTTATGACAACAGTTTTGTTTTCGGCTGAACAGGTCTCGACCCAAAATTTGTTGCCGCTCGATTTTTTTTGTTCGAACCAAAATTCGACCCAAAATTTTTTGTTCGACCCAAAATTTTTTGTTCGACCCAAAATTCGACCCAAAATTTTGTTGCCGCTCAATTTTTTAAGGCTGTTGAGGACTTTCATCATATACAATTAGGAATTTTTTTGTAGCTGTATTTTTAAGATACTCTTTCAAGTCATTTTTTAACTTAATTTTCCAGAAATGTTAACTGATTTTTTTTCATTCATTATCGTTTAGCGCAAAGTTTTTGCATCGAGAGTGTTGCGAAGCTCCGCTTCAGCTCAGTGAATTGTTTTTTGAAATTTATTTGAAAAGCTTGGAAAAGTTTTTCTTTTTTTTTCAAAAAAGTTTTGCAAATGCTTCTTTACCGACTTTCAGAAAAGTGAAACCGATGAAAATACCGCCCACTCCCTTGAATGCCTGCATATTCCTCCAGTCTCTTTTTATCATACTTCCCTTTGTAAACCCTTCGAAAAACTCCACTGGGGAGTTTTCCAAAAATTTGATTTTCATTTACTTTCGCTTTCGATTAGCAAGCGTTACTAAATCCGTATATTTTGTTTTCGGGTTGATTAGCATAATCTTTAAAACCACTTCTATCTTGCATCTTAATGAGTTTAAGTTTTTTATGCGTGTCTTGAATTTAGCATGCAGGTGTAGAATACGCCTGGGATGGCAAAGGTCGTGGAATCGAATCATACCAGCAAATGTTTTTTCTTCAAACTGCGAAAAACTCTTTTCAAAAAACGTCGGCAAATAGTGTATCTGCGCAAGTTTTGTCGGTTATTTGCCACGCCGTAGAATTGTTTTTTTTCTCTTAAAAATTTTATTCGGCCTTAATGATTTCGACTTACGTTTTATCGGCTTAGTGACCAAATTTGGGGTCATTTAAAAGGAAACGTAAGTCTTTTGATTCATTCTGGATCGCACAAAATACTTAGAAAAAAATGTATATGTCAAAGTTTTTGAGGACATCATTTGTATTTTTGGTTCATAGGGATTTTATTTAAGTTTTATTGGATCAGTCAGGTAATAATATAATAATAAATTGTTTATAAGTGAAATCATTCCAAGAACGGAATTACAACATATTCAGAAATCTTATACAAAAACGTCACTTGGGAGAGTATAAGACTAAAGGGAAAGAAAAACTTGAAATTGTAGTAAAACTTGCTCACAAAAGATGGAAAAGCTTTACCGTTTGATAGAAATTGAGATACAGGGTTTACCAGAACCAAAATTTCTATTAAAAAAAACGTTGTCAAAAACAACGAGAGAGGCAAAATCAGTTGAAGTATAGTTCAACTGCAAAACAGGTCTGTTATCCAGTCGCTAACAGTTTTAAAATAGTTATCTGAAAATTGATGTTTGAAATTGCTTAGTTCCCGGTTATTAAATTTTTTAAAATAATTTCTGTAAAATAAAGGAACAAAAAAGTAAACCGTTAAAGACACGAGTTCTAGCAGCAATCGAGCGCTTTGAAGCAAAGTTGCGAGTACTATTTTGGCTATTTTTCTTTTCACTGAAATTTTTTGTCACTTTTCAGTATTTACCTTTTGTACAATTTCGGATTAACATTCCCTCCGTATTTTTGCATAAAATTTCAGCATTTCAGAAGTATGTAATTTCTTAATGGTGAAAATTTTTTCTTTGTGTTTTTGGTCAGAATTTTTCTCAGTGAATGATAGGGGCCACATCACTGGCTTGCCTTTTTTCTAAAGAAATTATAATGTTTTCGAGCGTTAATTTTTCACCTATAACTATTCAAACACATTTTAAACTTATGATTTTTTCTATTTGTTGGCCATTTATTGTTCTACCTGTAGAGAGTTTAGCGGCTTAAATTTTTTACCAAAAGCCATCAGTTTAGTTTTACGTTTTAAATGTCAGTTTTTTGCTTGCTAAACAAAATTAGTTTCGTTTAAGACTTCTTGGTAATCTGGTTTAGACTATTAATTGAAGAAGCTGTTTTTATGAATGTATCATCAGCATATAGTAACATGATATTACTTTGTTGAGGGCTTGTTTTTGTTTTATATCAATCATATATAGGATGAATAAAAATGGGCCCAGTAATGATCTCTGTCGGACAGCAAAATTATTTTCTGCAACTTTTGGTTTTTCTGAAGATTTATACACAATGTTTTCTTTTTTACTAAACACGATTTCAATAAGTTAAAAGACCCTGGTCAACTCTCAAAATTTTTTTCTAGGTTTATGATTGTGCAGTGTTAGGGTGGAATGATCATTCCAGTATAACCTATTGTCCTTTATCAGCGATACAATAGCATCAAAATTGCCACGTTTTGATCTACACCCAAATTGATTTTATTTGAACATATTACTTTTATCAAAAAACTCGTTCAACCTACAGTAGATTAGCTTCTCAAAAAATTTGCCAAAAACTGGCAAGAAAGAGTTGGGTCTAAACTTTGCAGGAC